GGGTTGGGAGATTTCCCACCACCACCATTATTCCAGCACGTTCCATAATCACTTAAATAAATAAAAAATTAAATGACAGTTTAGTAGTCTAGCTAAGGTTATTTTAAAGCTTCTAAGGTAAAATTAGAAGCCTTTTTAGAAGGTCTGCAACTCACTTGGTGTCTGTGGGGTATCTGAATTCCTGCCTCATTAATAATCAGGGCAGGAAAAGCCTTGCAGGTTGCCACTCAAATCAGTGTAAGGGGATGTGAACACATCTGTCACAGCTATGCCTGACATGGCTGAAATGGATAGCTGGATTTCACCCAGGGGTTTGGGATGCCTGAGACGGCGGCCTTGGGGTGTTGCCTGCTTCTGCAACACAGAGGGTAGCAGGGCTGCAATCCATGGCAGCCCTCAGAGTCCGGCTACATATCGTGGGGGCTGCAGCATCCCAAGGTGTTGGGGTTTCCCTCCCGCCACAACACTGCGGTGTCCATGTGGGCTCTATGAGGAAAGTCCACAAGGAAAGACCTAAATCAGGACAACATGGCAACACCACACCTGTGTTGTGCCTCAGTGCCTGGACAAGTACAGGGCTCAGACCATCCTTCCCCACCATCCCCTTCCCCTCACATCCCCCTCTGCCCAGAGGAAATAATGCACGTAGAGTACCCCAAGGCATGCATCTTCCCCCTCACACTTCCTTCCCTGAGTACCTGGAGCCATCAAGCTCCTCCCATGCACTCTTTGGAAGTACCACATCTCCTGCTTGCTCCCTGTTCCCCTGTTTTGACTTCCTTTTATGCAAATCACTGCAACCTGCTAAAGCATTATTTAGCTGCTGAGTACATATAATTTTCATATGAAATGGCAGCTAATGTCTTCAGTCTCCGCACAGCCCAGCCTGTTTCTGGAGAGGCGTAATGGCTTTAAGCAAAGTCTGCTTCCCTTCCCTGTTTATCCTCCTCCACCTTGCAGGAGTTTGAGACATTCTGCCTTCAGGTTTGAGTGAGAGAGATTACTGCTCTCCTATACACGCCTCTAGAAAAAACAAAACTAACACCTGTTGCTAAAAAACACCTTTTTTTTTTCCCCCCTAGCAGAGCAGATTTAGGACTTCTCCTCTCATATTCATTCTTCTTCTTTTTTTTTTTTTTTTTTCTGTATAAACAACTTCTGGAGACCAACCTCTCAGCATGCTCTGTAAAAAATGTGTAAAATCCTGAGAACACTTGGTGGTCTGGGTGGAATTTCGTAAGTTAGAGAGGGCTCTCTGGGCTGCTCAGCAAAGCTGGTGCTGCCTCTTGTCCTTAAACAGCTTTGAAGAAAAGCAGTGCTCCCTATGGAATAACTGTTGGGAGGCAAAGGTGGGACCATGGCTGCGCAGACTGGAAGCAGCTCCTCAGAAGTGCCTAGTTTGGCAGCCATCAGTTGTCCATTAGAGCTGTAGGACATCACAGAATCCTAGAAGGGTTTGGGTTGGAAGGGACCTTAAAGCCCATCCAGTTCCAACCCCCCTGCCATGGGCAGGGACACCTTCCACTGGACCAGGTTGCTCAAAGCCTCATCCAGCCTGGCCTTGGACACTTCCAGGGATGGGGCATCTACAGCTTCTCTGGGCAACCTATTCCAGTGCCTCACCACCTTCTCCGTGAAGAACTTCTTCCTGATATCCAATCTAAACCCCCCCGTTTTCAATTTAAACCCATTACCCCTTGTCCTGTCACTACAGGCCCTTGTAAAAAGTCCCCCC